TGTATTTTCTGAGGCAGTCCCTGACTGTAGAACTCACCCCCACCAGAATGAGAAGGAAGACGAATCTGTCCAACAGCAGGGCTTAACACCAGGCTCACCTGTTCACACCAACCTCCATCTGATCATGCAAGAGTCAGCTTAGCCAGCCACGCCCCCTAATACAAGCCAGAGGGACCCTGCTACTGTCTGATGGATCAGGAGGGCATTTGCCGTATACTGCTGAATGAACAGTTGCATTTAGATCGTTTACAGGGCGCCTGGCCACCCTGGAGATCAGGTGCATTACCAATGGGGATTAGACAGAAGATTGACAGGTAGAATCAACTCAGTGGCTTTGTAGATCAGTGGTCACCAACCAGTCGATTGGGATCTACTGGTAGATCTTGGAGCCTCTGACAGGGGATCCTGACTGGTTTGGCCAAGAAGCTATCAAGTGCAACACTTCAGCTGCCCCGCCCACCACTGCTGCACAACTCCTGCCCTTTGCCTTGGAACTGCCTCCCCATACACGCACACACACACCGGGAGCCTCCTGCTTGCTGTGCAGAGCAGGGAAGGGAGAGGAGAGGTGCTAATGTCAGGGTGCCCCCTTCCCACACTGCATCCTATCATCACAGAATGGAGGGGGACACAGGGCTTGGGATGAACAGAGTTTGCTGGCTGCTTTAGGGAGTGGTGCAGGGCCAGGGCAGGAGTGATCCTGCCTTACCCCCACTGCACCACCACCAGGAACCACCTGAGGTAAACAGTGTCCAGCTGGAGCCAGCTCTGAACCCCCGCCCCAGTCTTGTACCCCTCCTGCACTTCAAGCCCCTGTCCCAGCCCTGAGCCCCCTGGACCCAAACTCCCTTACAGTGCCTGTACCCTGAACCCCCTCCTGCACTCCAACTCCCTGCCCCAGGCTCAGCTCAGAGCCCCCTCACACTCCAGAGCCTGCACCTCAGCCCTCAGCCCCTGCCTGGTAAAAGGGAGAGAGAATGTGGGAGGGAAGGAGGAAGGTTGGAGAGCGCAGGGGTGGGGCCTCGGAGAAGAGGCACAAAAGAGGCAGAGCAAGGGTGTTAGGGTTTGAGGTAGTTCCCGTAACACACTTAAATTCAAAAAGTGACCTTGTGCTTAAAAAGGTTGGAAACCGCTGTTGTGGATGCCATGACATCCTTTGTCCAATTAAAATTCTTTACCTAACATATTGTTCATCAGCGTATTGGGATATGGCCTAAGACGAATTCATTCCTCAATGCCTTCCCATTGAAGGCAAAGGGAGCTCAGAGGGTTCGGCACTTCAACAGCAATGCTGAGCACCTTCCAGCTTCAGTCTCATAGTATGTTAAGGTTCACCTCCTAACCTTGACTCACACCCATCAACTTCCTTCCTGCGCCATCAGGCATTTCTTGGAGCACAAATAACTTCCCACCCTCCTAGTCTTAGAATCATAGAATACTAGAACTAGAAGGGACCTCGAGAGGTCATCAAGTCCAGTCCCCTGCCCTCCTGGCAGGACCAACTACTGTCTAGACCATCCCTGATAGACATTTATCTAACCTCCACAGATGGAGATTCCACAACCTCCCTGGGCAATTTATTCCAGTGTTTGACCACCCTGACAGTTAGGAACTTTTTCCTAATGTCCAACCTAAACCTCCCTTGCTGCAGTTTAAGCCCATTGCTTCTTGTTCTATCCTCAGAGGCGAAGATGAACAAGTTTTCTCCCTCCTCCTTATGACACCCTTTTAGATACCTGAAAACGGCTGTCATGTCCCCCCTCAATCTTCTCTTTTCTAAACTAGAGCGTCTAACCTGAGACACTCTTTGCATGTTCTCTGTGTTGTGAAATCCCACGTGATTTCCCTGCCTGAGTAGTGTCTGAAAGAGAGGTTCCTTTTGTTGGTCCCTTTCGGTCAGGCCAATCAGTCTAGAGTGAAAAATCAGCTGAAAGACGAGGCCCTGAAGCAATTTGCCTTTTTCACTTGTGTGCGATCACTCTTCTGCAATCTGTGAATAGGAAATGCAAAAATTCTTTTATGAAGAGCAGTTGAAAGGTAAGGGCTACTCATCTTATGAGGAAGAGAAACTAGAGGAGAACATTTCAGCTGAGGGAATCTAGCAGTGGAACAAACTTCTGGAGACGATCAGACAAATCCAGAGTTTAATTAGCTTTAGGAAATGCTGCAAAAATCTTCCCTTTAAAAGAAAGCCTTTTCATCATTTAAATTACACAAACTGACCCTTTTAACATAAACTCCCACCAATCAATCAAGTAGTGATTACATGATAGATAGATAGATAGATAGATAGATAGATAGATAGATAGATAGATAGATAGATAGATAGATAGATAGATAGATAGATAGATAGATAGATAGATAGATAGATAGATAGATAGATAGATAGATAGATAGATAGATAGATAGATAGATAGATAGATAGATAGATAGATAGATAGATAGATAGATAGATAGATAGATAGATAGATAGATAGATAGATAGATAGATAGATAGATAGATAGATAGATAGATAGATAGATAGATAGATAGATAGATAGATAGATAGATAGATAGATAGATAGATAGATAGATAGATAGATAGATAGATAGATAGATAGATAGATAGATAGATAGATAGATAGATAGATAGATAGATAGATAGATAGATAGATAGATAGATAGATAGATAGATAGATAGATAGATAGATAGATAGATAGATAGATAGATAGATAGATAGATAGATAGATAGATAGATAGATAGATAGATAGATAGATAGATAGATAGATAGATAGATAGATAGATACTTTCTCTTCTCCCTCTCTCAGAATTCAATGAAATGGAAAGCTGGTGAATTCAAAAGAGGTAAAAGGAAATAAGTTTTCACATCATGTATCATTAGTCTATAGAATTCATTCCCATAATCTATAATTGAAGCTAAGGTCTTAGCAGAATTGAATCCGAGATCAGATATTTATAGATAGGTAACAAGAGTACTCTGAGTTATAAGAGACAGGCCATGCCTTTACTATGGGGAAGATCAACGCTGCTGTATCGATCTTCTGAAGTTTGATTTAGCGGGTCTAGTAAAGATCCGCTAAATCGAACTCAGAGGACACATCATCATGAGGAGTAAGGGAAACCAATGGAAGTGTTTGCTCCTGTTGGCCTCCCACTGTGGAGTCCATGTGGAAACTCAAATTAAGGTATGGCAACTCTAGTTATGTAACTAACATAGCTGGAGTGGCATATCTTAATTCAACTTCCTCTTCAATATAGATCTGAACTAAATGTTAAAGGAAACTAAGTGTTTAGGAAGGAATATAAAACCTGGGGGCTGTGTCTAGACTGCACCCCTTTTGCGGAAAAGGGATGCAGATTAGACACAGCGCAATTGCAAATGAAGTGGGGATTTAAATCTCCCCGCTTCATTTGCATGAACATGGCTGCTGCTTTTTTCCAGCTCGGGGCTTTGCCGGCAAAAAGCACCAGTCTAGACGGGGATCTTTCGGAAAATAAAGCCTTTTCCGAAAGGTCCCTTATTCCTCTTAAAATCAGGAATAAGGGATCTTTTGGAAAAGGTTTTATTTTCCGAAAGATCCCCATCTAGACTGGCGCTTTTTGCCGGCAAAACCCCGAGCCGGAAAAAAGCGGCAGCCCTGTTCATGCAAATGAAACGGGGGAGGATTTAAATCCCCGCTTCATTTGCAATTGCGCTGTGTCTAAATCTGCATCCCTTTTCCGCAAAAGGGATGCAGTCTAGAAACAGACGGAGTGTCCAGCCATAAGCCAGACTCTAACAACTATTGGAAGAGAAGGAGGAAATTTTCCGTAAGGACAGGTTCTCCCTTAAGGGTGTGTCTAGACTACAGAGTTTTTTTCAAAAAAAGTAGCCTTTTTTTGAAAAAACGTCATCGAAAAAAGTAGCCTTTTTTTGAAAACACTTCATCTGTGTCTAGACTGCTGCTGCGTTCTTTTGAAAGTAAATCAAAAGAATGTGGCAGTTTTCTCGACTGCAGAAAACCTCGTTTTATGAGGAAGAACACCTTATTTCGAAAGTGCTCTTTTGAAAAAAGGTGCTATGTAATGCAGACTGCCTGGGTGCTCTCTTTCAAAAAAGCGGTTGTAGTCTAGACGCTCTTTTTCTAAAAGGGCTTTTTCGAAAGTATCTTTTGAAAGAGGCTTGCAGTCTAGACGTAGCTATGTCTACTTCAGGAAGCTTCAGAGGGGTAGTTGAGTTAGTCTGTAACAGGAAAAACTTAAAAAATAACAAATAGTATGGTAGTACTTTAAAGACTAACAAACCATGTAGCTGGTATCATGAGCTTTCATGGGCTCATGATACCATCTACGTGTTTTGTTAGTCTTTAAAATGCTACCAGACTATTTGTTGTTTTTTAAGTTTTTACTTCAGGAAGGTTGTACTTCCACTTCATAGAGGCATCATGTAACAGGGGAAGAGGACATAATGTTATTGTAAGAGATAGACCATGGGTAGGATCCACTCTGGCAATTCCTATGTTCCTGCGATACTACAGCTTCTATGATCAGAAAAGACCACAGTTTATCTCAATGTATAGTTGATGAAATAACCACAGTCATCTGAATTCACTTAGCGCCTGACCTTATTTCTGATTAATACAGCATAATGATTTTGTATCTGCCTTCATTTTTTTTCCAGAAAGGAAGCAAATTATGCAAATATTCCAAATTGAGGACATTCATCTACGACTTAGGACAGGTTATAGTCAAAGTCCTTGAAATCAAATAGGGTTTGTAGGTGAACTATTCGCACAGTTTCTCAGTTACCACAATACCTTCATTTCCTCTTCCCCTCTTACATGACGCTTCTATGAAGTGGAATTTTTTGTAAAGTTAAATCATAGTCCTGAGCAAGAACTATGAATAAGTTTGGAAAAGGCCAACAATGACAATGGAAACTAGGGCAGCAGAAAAGTCCTTATAAAAAGCCCTGAAGTTCATGCACACAGACAGGTTCAGTTGAAAATATCCTTTACCCACATCAGATCAAGTAAGAGAGACTGCAGTATGATGACTTTTGCAAGGAGTGCTACATTGGTAAGTATTAGCTTTGCTTCTTAAATCTAATTGTAACAAACATTATTTCTAATAGATATGTGTAGATAAACTGATCTTAAATTTATTTTTTAAAATCATTCCAATCTAAATTGGAACTAGCAAATATTAAAACATATGGCTACTGAATATCCTCACTGCAGGGCAGAGTAAAGGTTATTTAGAACCTTAATGGGGCATTTTTGTACCTTAAAATGTTTGCATTTCTTTTCACTGTAATTTTATATTGATGAATTTGGATATAATTTTTCTTTTATCATTTAGTTACTGATATGTGAGGTTAACCTTAACATAGTTTTTGTTTGGGTATTGCCTTTTTTTTTCTTAATTGTTAAAAATGTCATACATGAAAAGTAAACAAGGAAACCACAGAGGATGCTACTATGTGATATCACTAATCAATTGAAGTTATAAAGTATCAATCCTACTTTTTTATATTCTAACTTTTGGGATCACTACTATGCCGTTCTTGGTTATTAGGCAATATTATTTTCCATACACAAAACTCACACTAATTCAATATTAACTTTGAGAACTCGGGCATTCTAAAGTCAGAAAAAGAAATAATAAGGTTGAAAACTCAACCTTACCACGTCTCCAGTGTTTATTTGTTAGCGTAAGGTTCCTTTATATGAAATTATTTATTAGATTGCATTGCTAATCATTCAATAGAACCTGTTTTCTTATACTACTTCTTCTTCTTAAACTCTTGTACTCCGAAATTTACAGTAAAAGAATTTATGGTCTTCAGACTTTGCTTAATATTTTGTCTCAATGAGATCAACAGAACAAACTACATTTAATTTTTGTACCTTCAGCCATTGTAGAGTTATTTCTGCACAAAATTTGGAGTCAGGGGAAGGGTAAATTCTCTGCTTGTGTAAATGGTCAGAAGTCCATAGCTGCTAATTGGGCTGTTCTCATTGGAAACAGCAGAGACCTGGCCTGGAAAGAGGATTCCTAGAATGCAATCTTAACCTACATTCTGCCATACTTTGGCAAAGGTGTGACTCTTCCTATGAAGTTACTTTTATCTATATTAGATGTCTATAAGTGCACCCATCTCATAAAAACCATGAGAATGGTCACGGGTTCTCTTCAGATACAAAAGGTTTCTGCGAATGAATAACTTTATCGCTGAAGCTACCAACCACAAGCAAAGTTGAGCATGTATGAGACCACCTCTGCCCCCAGCCAAGCATTGAATTTCAGGATATAAATTGTTGCTGGAGCTACACAGTACATTCCTGTGTTCCGGGCTCTGCACTAACAGAGAGTGGTGTTTCTCTATTTCAGCTCAGCTCGCTGCTGTTAATGCTGATCCTGGGGCTGTCAGCGAAGAATTCAGCCCTTGGAAAGGCAATAAGACCTGGGTTCAATGGAGAGAGAGGCGCAGAGGAGAAAAAGAGCGATGACTGCCCACCCCAAAAGGACTCCAGATTCCCTCTCAGTGTGAAAGTCGACATAAGCATCAGTAGCACACAGCATGCTACCAAAGTGGCTCATGATATCAGTAACCGGTCTGTGTCTCCCTGGGATTACAGGTACAGTTCATGTTCCCCACCATCTGGAAACGCACCGGGCTCTTCTGCTTAGCAATACAGGGGGAATGCTGCACTCCATGTATCCAGAAACATTAAATTTGACCTGCCAGCCCATATGCCGATGGTCGTATTCCTCATGCAAAAATGACAACCAGATATTTATTAATTATAATTAGATATTGGTAGCATGGTAGCTCATAAGAGCCCCATTCATGGCCAAAGTTCCCTCACTGTGCGGCAGCACGGCCATACAGCTGCTTAATGGGCCCTGCCGGTCAGGGGTTCAGGACTCACGCACAGAGCTACCTGGATGGGGGAAGGGTGCTTCTCCCTTAGCAACAGCAGCAGCTTCCACCTGAGGACAGAGCAGTGAGTCTCTCCTAGTCTGTAGGGACACGTCCCCTCCCTACCGGCTGGGAAAGACTCGCGGCTTTGTCACTGAGGGAAAAGCGCTCCACCCCCAACCAGGCAGCTCCGTACCCAGAGCGCTGAGGCCTTGGCTGAGCCGGGCCCATTAAACAGCTGTTAGGCCGGGCTGCCATACAGCTAAGAGGAAACCTTGCTGTAAGCAAAATGAGGGTCCAACTCAACACCAATGTTAGAAAACAAATTAGCTTCAGGGTTTGTCACAGCTCTTTCTTCAGACCCACTTCTGGCCTGACACATCTGAGTCCACATCCTGCCTCAGAGAGTCCAGCCAAATATCCCCAAGGGCCCAATCCTACACCCTTTAAATCAATGGGAGTTTGGCCATGGCTGTTAAGGGGCCTCGAGGTTTTGAGGCACTGGGGCCAATGCTGAAGTCTTCAAGAGGTTTTAATTAATCCTTATTCGGGCACAAACTCACATGGAAACAAATGGCCTCGTTAAGTCACTGAGCATTGCAGGAGCTCAGACATTCAACCAGAACAAGCTAATTCTATGAGGAAGATAAATCAATGGGAGTTTGGCCATGGCTGTTAAGGGGCCTCGAGGTTTTGAGGCACTGGGGCCAATGCTGAAGTCTTCAAGAGGTTTTAATTAATCCTTATTCGGGCACAAACTCACATGGAAACAAATGGCCTCGTTAAGTCACTGAGCATTGCAGGAGCTCAGACATTCAACCAGAACAAGCTAATTCTATGAGGAAGAGGGAACATGTAAGGAATGAGCTAAGCACCTGAGCTGAAAGCCCTGCTGATTCGGGCTGCAGTCATCCCTCCATTTTGACCAATCTTGAACCTTGCTTCACAGCATTGACAACGATCCGAACCGGTTCCCGCAAGTGATCTCTCAGGCCAAGTGCCGCCATTACAGCTGTGTGGACTCCGCCGGGCAGGAGGACTACAGCATGAACTCCATCCCCATCCAGCACGAGATCCTTGTTCTCCGACGGGAGCAGAGAGCCTGTCAGCCCACCTACCGGCTGGAGAAACAAGTCATCACTGTGGGCTGTACCTGTGCGAGGCCCATCATCCACTATCTGCAGTAAGAGAAGGCAGCCAGTCAGAAGAAGGAGACCTCATGAAGAATCAGCCATGCTAATGGTCTCCATGGACCTTAAATTTAACAAAGGGCCTGATCCAACTTCCACTGAAAAGAGTCTTTCCACTCATTTCACTGGAATTGGGTCAGACCATGATAAAGAGCCAAATTCATAGAGAGCTGACCAAAAAAAAGGGGGGGATGGGACACAATTACTTTTTTAAATTTTTCCCCCAAATCTCAAATTTCAAAATTCAACCAGATCCATGGGAGGGCGGATAAAAGGGTAAAAATTTACATCATTTGATATCAATTTCTCCCCATTTTTTTAATTTCAAGCTTCAAACCATTTTGACCAGCTCCAGCATGAATCAAAGCCTTGGGAAAAAATCAACCTGAATCTGACTCTAAAATCCAGAGTCTTTTTTAAGTGCTAATCCAAGTAAATTATTATAGCTGCAACAAATCACAATTTTTTTAAAACAAATGTAGTTTCCTTGCTTGCTTTTCAAATGAATATTGAACATAAAACCACATTTCAGAGACAATTGTGCTACCTACATAATACCCCAGGAAAAGAGTGGTGAAATGTTATATTTTTGTATCTCTATTTAAATGATCTATTTATAGAATTATTTATACCATTAAGATAACATATCTGCTTCTTATTTGTATTTATTCAATAAAAAGTGGGTGGATAAATCTACTGTATCTTTTTAAGTGAATCATTTTTGGTAGTGAAAGAAGTCAGGCAATCAAAGTAAATATCACAGCATGGTAAATTTAGTGGATTGTACGATAACAATAAGTAAAATATCATCATCATCATCCTGTCTACCACTTTTCATCTGGGGATCCTTAGTAGATCTCGAAGGTTAGACTCGTTATCCTCATTTTACAGATGGGGAAACTGAACAACAGAGTGGTAACATGCCTTATCCAATATCACTCACCTGGCCACTGGCAGAGCCCGGAATAACTAATTGTTTATCCAGACTCCGCTAATATTATTACCTCTGTGATGATCTTTGCCAGTGGAGAGCGCTTCCTAGTGGTCAGGGTTTAGGCCCTGTGAACTGCTTGGCAGGTGAGCCTGGTGCCCTCCAGGTTCTGGCCCCGGATCCTGGAAGGGCTATTGAAGATCTGGCAGCCAAAGAACATTAAGACAGCCCTCGCTGTCTGTGGCAAGGAGACATGCAAGGAGTCAGCTTGCCTCTTAGCACCTTCTTGTGACATAAGGAGTGGAGGGAGAGGTAGTTCAGTGGTTTAAGCATTACTCTACTAAATACAGGGTTGTAAGCTCAATCTTGAGAGGGAGAGAGAGAGAGAGAGGAAGGGGAGCCATTTAGGGATCAGGAGCAAATCTGACGAGGATGGTACTCAGCCCTGCTGTGAGGGCAGGGGAATAGACTCAATGACCTCTCAAGGTCCCTTCCAGCTCTATGAGATAGATATATCTTCATATTATTATAGACGTCCCTATTTCATAAGGACAAGTCCCAATATTTGGGGCCTTGTTTTATATAGGGACTATACCTCATCCCGATTTTCACACTTGCTGTCTGGTCACCATAGTGTGGCCATGTATGGCATAGTAGCTCCTTCTCTCTCTCTCTCTCTCAGGGTGGTGACTATCTCCTCCTGTGGTTTGGCCCTCAGCCAGGCCAGATCCAAATCTCTCCCCTGCTTGGATAGTTCACAGGCAAAACGCAGGGATTTAACACAAACTGGGTCCTTACGCGAGGAGTAGGGAGCACCTCTCTCTCAAAGTGTATCTGAAGGAGGCCCTCCCTTGCTGCAAGAAAGGACCTTCCAACAGTTGTGGATTGGCGAGAGTCTACCTTCCCTCAGAAGGCTTCCTTGGGAGCTGAGAGTTCTCTTCCCTGGCCTGCCCCTACCCCCAAGTGAGCTGTTGTTTCCTTGTACCTCCTTCTCCAGCATGGGCATCTCTTGCAGGTAGGAGCCCAGAGCAGCTCTTTAGCCCCTTCCACACCATCACAACACAATGTTTCACACATTGTTGCCTACGGTAACAATAATGCCAGGTGTAACAAACAAGACAGAAACCCCAGAACTGGTGCGTGAGATCCTGGCTATAGGATTCAAGAGTCAGAGCTTGCAAAGGCTTAAACTGAACTTCCTGCTCTCCACCCCGTCCTACCCTGGGGCAGGAAAGCAGCTGGCCCATGGAGCCTTCAGAATTCTCTGCTGGACATTTGTAGCCAAAATCTGGTATTTGGGGAATCCTTGAGCCAAACAAAGGGGCATTATGGAATCTAGCCCTGTATGCCAGTAGCATTCAAACAGGTGGGTATTCTAAGTGTTACACTGGGAGCACAGAGCCCTGGGCTAAAACTGTGTCTCTGTGTATGTTAGCAATGTGCCATCTAATGACTGATCCAGTGAAAGGATAAGGTCTCTACTACTACTGTCCCTTAAAGGAGTTCTGGGAACGTCTACACTACAGAGGCAACATCTGACCAGCCAGAGCACTGGCTCAAGCTATTACAGGCCACTGGCTGGCACGTGCACTAGTCAGAGACACCCTTGGCCACTAACCCTAGCTGCCTGCCTGCAATATGCAGCCTTGCAGGGGAGGAAGTGGAGGAGAGGGGGGATGTGGTAGTCTCACTGAGGAGGGAATGAGGAGGGACACAGAAGGTGGGAGGGTCTCAGAGGGGAGGAGTGTGGAGAAGAGGGGGGTGCAGGGCTGGGGAACCCACAGGGAGGGTATGGAATGGAGGGGAGGCGCACGAAGAAACTCAGCAGGCAGCAGGGGTGTTGGGGAAGGGGGTGACGCAGGGAAAAAAATTCAAATATTATAGGTCCATTGTCCCTGTGATGGGTCAATATCCAACAGTCCGTGAATTTAAATGGAATTGCCAAACAGCTCAATTTACACATGGAACTGGATTAGCTCTGATGAAAAATAAAGGAAGTTTATTTAACTACAAAGAGAGAGTTTTAAAGCAAGTACAGGTACAAGGCATTAAGGAGAAATAAAGATAAAACACTTTCTAGTAGCTAAAACTTAGCATACTAGATTGGGGTCATGGTACAATTGTTACCTCATGATCCTAGCAACATTGCGAATGAAATATTCATGCCAGGGGCCTTCCCAAAGTCAAAAGGCTGCTTCCTTTTTCTTCTCGGGTGACAGTAAAAGACAGCAAGGAATATAAAGATAAAGGAAGAGAGATCCTGGAGTATTTTACCCCTTCTTTTTATAGTCCAATCCCCCTTTGAATTGCATTTTCCTGAGGGTTGCCCCTACACAAAGTTCCACCCTGCTGTCAGAATGGAGACATGAAGTCCTGAGGTCAAAGAGGTTCCAGGTTCTTGTTTGCTAAAATGTAATTTGACCCATTCCTGCCCCCATTTCATTGTCCAAGAAGAGCCACTTGACTGGTGAGTGCCAATCCACTTCGGTGACACCTGACTAGAGGTGTCAACTTGTCCTTTGTCTTTGAGAAACAAATTTGCTTCCCCCCTCCCCGGACGGGTGTGGTAAAGACAGTTCAGTCAGAATTTTAGCTTATGGTCATAACTTTACACATAATGTTGCCACGCACAATGATTTCCATATTGAAATGTGACTTTATTTTCAACATTTTAATTGAAATTCTTAACCAGAAAAATGTATATAGAACATAGTTGATTGTGTTTTAGATTTTTTGCTCCTCCTTTTCTTACCCTTTCTTTCATGTTCTAGTGATCCGGTCCTAGTTAAGGACTTCAGAAACCCATGTTTGATTCCCTGCTCTGCTACAGACTTCCTGGGTGACCTTAAGCATGTCACATCATCTCAGAGCATCATTTTCACCATCTGCAAAATGGGGTTAATAAATTGCCTGGGGGTTGTAAGGATAAAGGCATTAAATATTTCTTTTCAGAGGAGTGGAATATAGGGCAAGCTAACAAAGCATTTCTACAGCAGCTGCGATGAAGCCTATATAGTGGGTTGGAAAGTTAGCACTCTCTGTCTGTGTTTATTTAAAGCACTATTTTGCGGAGAAAAGAGGCAAAAATGTCTCACAATTCAAACCCTAGATGGCTTGAGAAGTCCCAGGTGTTACAGAAAGCTGTCATTCCTGGAATGCTTGTGGTCTGTGATTGTCACCACTGAAATCTCATTTGTGAAAATGGCAGAAAATACAGAACTGCAGAGGATGCAGAGGTCAGGATGGGGTGCGTGGACCTAGCAACTGGTTGGTTATGTAAATACTTGAAAAGAATTTGGGGGGGGGGGGAGTTTCCAAAGCACCATAGGAATTTAGGAGCAAAATCGCATCAAAAGTCAATGAGACTTATGCACTGAAACCCCTCAAGTGCTTTAGAAAAAAAAATTTTTTTTGGACAACAAACAGGAACAAATCTTCCCTAGTGGGGAAAATGGAAGTAAAACAGGGACCTCTGGAGCTTAGTATATGAGTCCTTACAACTTGAGCTAACACCTAATGGGATCTCAGCTAAGGCTGTAGACTCATTCTCTCTCTCTGTAAGTGGTCTAAGTGCCACTACATGGGACAGTGAACCACATTCAGAAGGTGTGTAGGTTGCACTGGTTCTGGTTAGAGATAGGACAGATTGGTGGTTAGAGTGCTAGCTAGAAGATGCAGGTTTAATACCATGCAGTGCCACAGACTTCCCATGTGATCTCAGGCAAGTCACTTAATCTTTCTGTGCCTCAATTTTCAATTTGCAAAGCCTTCCCTTGCCTACATTACCCACCACCCATGGTCCCAATGGTCAAATTTCTATGACCATAGTTGGCATTGTCTGAAGCAAAGGCCTGGGAAGAGATGGAGGCTAAACTACCCTCTTTATCCTAGAAATGGTCCTTTCAAGATCGGGGTGGGGAGAAAAGAAAGGTTCCTCTGTCAAGGCCCATTCTGTGAAAAAAGCACATCCATCTCCAGCACCTCCTTTTGGGAATATAAATGATCACCACCGTCTTTTGCAAAACCTTCAATTTCTCCCTGAGGTAAACTTACAGGATGGAATTGTGACTATTTGATTGTTGCCTCAGTTCATGCAACATTGGCTTTCCCTCCAGGTCCGCTCCATGAGTTTCCTGTCGGCTTTGTAAAACGTCGGCGGCAGCCCTGCTAAACTGAAAAAGTGATTTTAAAAAAACAAAAGATTAAAGGCCAACAGAAAGAAAGATCTGAGATTATATTGGCATAGCAAAAAGCAAATAATTGTGATTTTTAGTCCCAGTTAAAAAAGGAAGCTTATCAGATATGAGAATGAGTCAGACAGACAGATAGCTAGATAGATCATGTCATTCCAATTGATAAGAGCTAGGCTGCGGAAATGTGCTACATACTTCAGAGGACAGATATGAAAGAAAAATCAAGGCCAAAATCTGCAGGGGGAACTCAGAGAGATCTCTGATATATGTGTGAGTCTGCCTGAATAAAGAAACTGGTTTAGGGTTTCCAATCCTCCAGGATTAGGAAATCTCCAGGAATTAAAGATTAAGCTTGAATTATAGATGATGTCATGTGATGAAACCTCCAGGAAAGCTATCAGCTGTCATGCTCTACCCATACCATCTCACCCCTGGCTGACTGCAATTTTCAGACAAC